CCCGAAATTCACTCGATAGATTTTAGGTATATTTTTTCCCTCTGTATAGCAATCACTTGCTTATTGTGTAATGCGACCACTGTTAGATCTGGTTTTCCTGAAATGTAACCTGTTAATTTGATTACTTTATAGAAAAAAGACGTATTTGTATTTTCATATGAAATTTCAAATTATATATCTGCAAGGACTTTAACTAAGTACGAGTTTATTAAACACTTACCAATCAAATAACTCGTCATAAATATGCTCTTTCCAAAATCATAAAAAGAAATTCATTAAAAATAATTTTATAAAAAATTAGTTTATTAGACTACTACAAATAAATAATGAAGACAGCGAAAATTAATAATTTGTCATTAAGACAATTAACATTTCTTCAGGATTTGCTCTTGCAATGTGGTTGGACTGCAATTTGAAGCAATTGTATATCCATAAGTTCCCACTGTCGTCTATCCTCCATTAGATGAGGATATGGAAGCCCCGATTAACTATATACAAACTTGCGGTCTATAGAAGTGACGTGATTTTAATTCAAAAAATAAAATTGTGTGTGGCGCCGTTTCTTATCAAATTTTTTTTTATAAAAAGCTTTTATATTTTTAATTACTATAAAGTGGCAAAAAAGGGTTAATTTTGAGGGTAGGATGTATTAAACTAAACGAGCAATTAGGAACTTTAACAGTTTAATTATTCAAAATCAACAGTTAATTCACATTAGATCGGTAAAACCAGGTCGCCTACAATATTAATTCTCCAGAACACCTTTTCTCGGGCTCTATTCTCTATAATTGACATATTTTATAATTTATATATTAAATTTATTTAACTTAAAATATACCCCCTTCATCTTAAAAAAGTGCCTCACAAATGCTTCTTGAGTGACTCTTACGAAGCTCTTGTGAGCTTTTGTTTTGCTCTTCTCTAGATCAGACAAGATCAAATGAGAAACGCTTGAAAAAATGAACGTATTAATAAGTTTGAAATAAAGGAAACCATTTTTCTTAGAATTATTTACTGTAACGTAACTATTCGCAGTACATACAATTACAGAAAGTTACAACTGCATTTGTAAACCGCATAATCAGTAAGTATTCGATATCGCTACAAAAATGCAAAGTACATATGCACCACATACAATCCATATATATTACTACCCATACACATATAATTATCTACAATAATCCTGTGTAATATAAGCCAAAAAAATACACTTATGTTGCACAGGATTTCATAATGCTATTGTACAAAACTCGCATTACATAAATTAAACAAACGAAACTTTTTTCATTTATTATTGTCACTTTTTAAACAAAAATACATAAATACGTATTAACATTATAATTTTTATTAATAGAAGCACATTGTTACAAATTAATTAAGTGTCGAGTATTTTAATTTCTGCATTCGACTTTTAAAATGGCTTCTTTAGGACTGTGGACTTCGAAACCAGAATTGAAATCCATCACCAACTTTAAAAAGGGTGTGGTGTTATTAAAACGAATCAAAATGTCAATTTAAAAATAATTTTTGTGAAATTTAAATATTCCAACCTTTGATTCCTCACAAAGACAAAAGCGAAAATGGCGAAAAACATTTGCTAGACACAATTTCATTTCCAATTGACTAAATTTCATACCCAAACAACTTCTCGGTCCCAATCCAAAGGGAAAATATGTATAAGGACGAATGAGATTTCTATTTTCTGGGAGAAATCTGAAACATAAACATATTCGATGAAATATGATAATTGAATTTATAAAATATCTTAAAATATGTAGAAATGTTATAATGTTTTACTATGTATATCATACATTTTACGTACAGTACATTGCATAAACAATTTTTAATAATAAAAATATTATACAAAATATAAAAGAACAAAATGAATAAGTTAAAATGGTTTTATGATTCATCTTTTTAATTTTAAGATATTTGTTCCTTTCAGCGATGTCCTAATTCTATGGAGCATCTTAAGAGTGTCTCAAACCCTTTTTAGGGCGTGAAAAATACATATTTATTTATTCACTTATAAGTATTTGTTCTTGTATTTGTATTTGTTTTTAGATTTATTCTGTATTTCTATAAAAGTATATTGCCTGTACTATTGTATAACAAAAATATACATATGTTTTATTCATAGGATTTGAGGGAGGAAGAGTGAATATTGAAGTAGCTTTAAACTATTATGAAGGTTTGGTCACCCTTGATTGAAACTATACTTAACATTACTTTTTGTCCCTTTAATTATTACTAAAATTTTTAAAATTTTCATAGCATATCTGAGTGAAATACTCTTATTTTAGATATAATGTAGACATATTTATGCTTAACACAATTGTTAAAAAATACAAAGATGAAGAAAAATTGCAGGAAGAAATTGCTAAAAATCGATGAATAACGTACAACATATGTAATCGAACACAACAAAAATAAAGCGAAAGAACGCCGAAAAATATACAAGAGCAATGCAAAAAGTAGGGTTTCTGAAACGGGATCCCGGGATCCCGGGAAACAGTTCACTTTTATCCCGGGATCCCGGGACAAGCAAAATACCGGGAAATGAGAAACTCTAGCAAAAAGAGAGAGCGAGAGACGAATTGAGCGCACAACAAATTGCGTTTATGCTTCGCTTTCATTTTTTGAGTGAGCCGGTAATTCGAACTCCGAAACGAATTTTTGACAAATTTAGCAATCGAATGCTGAAGCGTTCGATGTACAGTAAAAGATATTAGTGTACATAAAAATTTTATTTGGAAAAAAGATCCTTATAGAATAGAAAACACTGTAATTTTCATGCGAAAATTAATCTTAACTTCTTGTTTCTATGTATAGGCTAAATCTGGAATTAAATAATATTTAAATGTAGATTTTTACTACCTGATATAAGTCTTATTTTATAGCATTATGTTTCTATATCTTATAACATTTAACGTTATTGAAAACATATATTTTAATATATCACGTTAAGAGTTTTATAAATAATTTTGTATTATTTCTGAGATACGTCAAGAAAGACAATTATTTATTTTTTTAAGAATAATAATAATAATAATAATAACCTTTCGGGATCAAACTTTTTGGGATTCGGAAACCATTCTTCATCTTGATGGATTGCATAAATTGGTATTCCGATCATTATATTTTTAGGAACAACAATATCCGTTCCTTCTAAATGATAATCTTCGTGTCCCATGCGAATAACTCTACAAAATAAAATATAAAGTTGAAAATGATAACATATTTACTTTTATTTCTATGAAAAATAAGAAGTATTTACTTTGGAGTTGGTGAGTAATATCTCAACGTTTCAGAAATGACTGCATCTAAGTAAGGTAAATTCTGAACGTCTTCGTATTCTAGTTCTTCCTATTAAAATATATTACAAATATTCACATTCAAGTTAAGTTTTATATTTACAAAAAAGAAAAACCGACCTGATTTTGAAGATTTTCTTGTAATTCTTTTGCTAATTTTTCTTGGCATTCGGGATTCAATGCTAAACTGTATACGATAAAGTTAATATTGGCAGCAGTTGTGACGAATCCGACAATAAAAAACAAAATGCACTGGGAGATAATTTCGTCGCGGGTCAGATCTAATATTTTTACAATGGTTTAAAAAAAGTACAAATATTATGAGTTCTACATTTCATATGCAGATTTTATATTAATTTTAGAAACAATTCTATACTTCTAGAAAATAATTTCCAGAACAAAATTGTGTTGTCTATCTGGTTAAACTTGTCTACCTTTTTTAATACATTATTAATAAAATTGCTAGAATTTAGTGTACAACATAAATTAAATGATTAATTAATAATTTTATAAATGAGAAATGAAAAACTATACAATATCTTCTAATAACTATTGAAAACTCTTGTAGAAATATGTAAAAACATTAATTAGGATAAGCTGCCATTTTCATGCTTTTTAATTTACATATACTTTGACTTGTATTCGATGTAATTAAGACAAAAAAAAAATAAAATATTAATATATATATATACATATATATATATATACAGTAAGACCACGTTTAACGCTGCCTCGATTAACGCTGATTCGATATAACACTGCTCGAAGCCTAAAAAAAACTCAAAACTTACACTGATTCAAATTATCGCGGCGGCATTTCATTGATTCGTATATAATACGATTATACCCAAACACAAACCAATCAGCAAAAGGTGTCAATTCGTCGTAGCGCTGTAGTTTCCTTAAATCTGTTTGTTTGGTGCAATTATGGAAAAATATAACATCATGGATGCCATAGGCAATATCGACTTCGCTTGGCAAGAATCAATTGATGAATGAATAAACGAAATGTGGAAAAAGTTATGGCTTGAAAGTATCCAAGAATTCTCAACGAGAAGAGTCTATCGCTGTATCGTCAGATTGACCAAATTGTCAACTTAATCCATACAGCAGAACTATGAGATGTAAACGAGCAGGATATTGAGGAGTTACTGCATGTTTCTGATGAGAGCCTTACCAACGACGACCTTCAAGAACTTCGAATTAAAATGACGGATTTTTAGATGGCCGTCGGTGTTCACGACGGAGACTAACTATTCCCTTCCCATTACACGTGTCCAGACATTTGTTTACTGTTTGCCAACACGCTTTTATTTTACAGTATAACAGAATTTCTACACTTTTGATTTACTCTGCAATTTTAAAATGCGGCAACTTTTTCCAGTTTAATTTTTATCAACTCATAAAGCTTTGTAAAGTGAACTTACATTTGTTTTTAGAAGTATTGTAATTTGACTTTTCGTCTATGTTTTCAGAACCTGAACTTTCTAACATCCATTGAAGTAAATCATCATACTTTTCCTATATAATATAAATTCATTCATTTATTCATTCATAAATATATTTCAAATGATAATAATAATAATGTAAAAAAATATATATAGTGGAAATATTACGTTTTCATGCATTTTACGTTTTTCCAGAATTTCAAGAACTGTTTTATATAAGAATGAAGTAGATTTTGTATCAGCAACAGACAATTTTAGTAACTCGCTTAATTTTGGAAATATTGCTATAAAATTTATATTTTTATTATTGTACAGTACATATTGATGTTAATACAATCTATATGCTTAAAGATTTACCTAACATTAAATTTCTCCATGGAACTGATGAAAATATATTGGTGACGGCAATAACAAAAGGATTTTTAACGTATTCGTGACTATCAATGACCATATTGAAAGCGCATCTGGAAATTGAATCCATGATGAAGACGTTAAAATATCTAGAAAAAATACAAAAATTAAACATTACTATTTATCGAACATAAATATCACAGGTAGCTTTATTTTATGAGAATTGTATTATAGTCTATATTACAAAATTAAAAAACGCGTATAAAAAAGAAATGAATGGTGTCGAATACAGCACAAATACTGTTTTATTGAAAAAGTGCAAAATTTAGAGTTAGTCGTATATAGTTCTATATCCATGATAAATGTATTGTTTACTGAATTGAATTAGATAATTCCGAACAATTAGCCTTTTTGTAATGATTTCACGAGTTAGTGTTGTAACTGGTTTTTTTTTTTATCTACTTTAGCAAGGACTTATTTTTGCGCCCATAAATTTTTGGCAAAAATAATAATAAAACGAACATGATAAAGCAAATGTTTATGAATAATTTTTATGTACACAAGAAATATATAAGAAAATTCACATGTATTTTATAAACGAAAATATTATTACAGTATTTTTGACAATTTTTTGTCAGTTCCATTTCGAAGTCTTCTTTGTTCCGGGGCACCAATTGTACCTGTGACGAATTACGTAAATTTTTATTTTACGAAATGAAAAAACATTCCCGAATTCGGAGTAACGTGTATATATATATATATATATATATATAAACAACCTGAGGAAACTTTTCTGATCACACTGAATTCAAAGTTTATTACAAAAAATCAAGTCATTATACAATGAAATAGATAACAAGAAATGAAAGAGGAATATTTTGATTAAAAACATATCACTTTTTCATAATGTTAATTTGATTTTACAAGCAGGAAAAAAATATATATAAGAAGCAAGAAATGGAAAATTTGAAAAAGACCCCGATATTGCAGTTTACAGGAAAAATATTCAATTCGTTGAAACATTGTGTCCATGAAGTGTTTGCCAAAGTATAAATGTATCTGCCCAGTTAACCCAAATTGCATAATTCTTCTCTGATAAATTGGTTTACTTATTACATATTTATTGTCATTCGTTTTAGTTCCGTCCCATTCTTACAGGCTTTATTTCAGGGCTGTTTGCTGCCCATGGAAGGACACTGATACCATTCCGAGCGTGAAACTGTATAACAGAGTTTCTTTAGTGACAACAGATTATCATCTTGATAAAACAAAAGATTTTCATTTTCAAATCAATCTGCAAAGCGCGGAAGTAAAAAGTGTTTCAAAATTTCTATATAACACTAAGTGTTCACAGTTGTTTTAATAATGTTCATTCGTCCAATTCCTGTGCCAATCGTAGTGCCTCCTATCATGGCAGATTGAGAAAACTTCTGTTTTGTGTTTCGGCATGCTCGACGGCATTTTTTTTTCTCAGGTAATTGCTAAGTAAAATAGCCTTGCCGTCGTCTATTCCTATGCACATCCGCTATTCGTCACTAAATATGACGCTCGTCCAGTCATTCACTTTTTAATTTTTATATGCCTTATATCATTTCAATCGTGCTTTCCTCTGTGCACGCATGGAATTGTGCTTTGAGTATAATTAAAGGTTTTTCAATATATCTCTGATTATGTCATTTCAATAGTAAAATTAGTACCTTTTTTTTACAAAGTCGTCAAAGTAATTATTTTTTTTGTGTTATTTAGATTAATTTTCTGTTTTTTCCTGCAACATTCGTTTCTACTTGCAAAATGAAAGTTAGCATTATGTAAAATTGATATTTTTCTACTCAAGATGCACTTTTTTATTTCTTTCTTAATAGTTTTCTTTTTTTTAGTAAACTTTCAAAACATGTTTCATTTTGAAAATTAAGGGATTATAGGAAAATTTTTCTCCAGAGTTACATATGATGTGTAAATATGTATTACACATATACATACGTTTGTGTATGTCTTTCAACAGTATAATATATAAATTCTTAGACAGGGAAAGTTTTCACTGTTATATACAAAGATCCAACAAGGAGTTGCGTAACTTTTCCGGCTGTTAGGATTTTATTTAAAAAATACAGTAACTTTTATATTATTGATCATACTAGTAATAAATAAGATTGTGTGTGGTGCTATCTGTCATAAGATTTTACTATAAAATTCTTTTAATATTAATATTATTAATTATTATAAATTTGCAAAAGCTTCATTTTGAAGGTAGAGATGAGTTTTATAAAAAAAAAAAAAAAAAAAAAAAAAAAAAAAATTAAAAAAAAAAAAAAAAAAAAGCCAA